TCCGAATATGCCTTCCATCAAATTTTCAAAGTGATCCGTTGTCTGGTTCACCAGAAACGTCTAATGTGCCATCCACCGTGAATCAGCCTGTAGATATAGAAAATAGTAAATATCTCGAAAACGATCACCTCCAGCGTTGTTGAGAAAGTGTACCTTTTATAATTGGAAAAGGTGTGGGAATTAGGTTTTTTTCATGAAAAGTACCAAAAGTTCACTGTCAGAAAAGTTAGGGCAATTTGAAATAAATGATGACAGCGTACGCAGCGCCCTAGAGGTTACATGAAAATTAATAAGAAATTATGATTTCCCACGTCAATAAAACCCTGGGTACCAAATTTTGTGCAAATAACTCATTTTTTGAAAGAGTTATTTTCAAAAAGCGAACAAAAAAATCCAATTTCAACACTCTGAAACGAAGCATTTTTGGACACAAGTTCATGTAGACGTTTTTTCTTAAAATTGTCTCAGGAATACGTCACTTGAATATCTTAACGTACTTATGTTACACCCTATATGGAGTGGTTTGAAACTCTGGCCATTGAAGAAGCCGACAAGATGTCCCGAGTCTGGTTGAGATTACGTGAACGCGGACTGCAATTCCAAGAATTGCATTTACCGGATACCCTGCGAGTGCGGAGAATCATACATCGGTGAAACTAAAAGGCCACTGAAAGTTCGCATTGCCGAGCACAAGAAACGCACACACGGCGATAAAAAACAGCAAATCAGGAATAGCAGAGCATGTTTGGACTCATCAACATCAAGTGGGCTCGAGCTGACATCATCCACAAGGAGGAACATTGGTTTAGGAGAAAATTCAAAGAAGCCACATATATGTTGTCCAACAACGCATTTAGCCAACCTAGCGTGGATATACGCAACATATGGAAACCTCCTATCAAGCGGAACACGACCAACTCCCGCCAAATGGTCAGTTTCCGTTCAAAGCGATGAAGTGGAGAGAGGGAAGACGGAATAGGTGAAAGCATTCGAATGACCTATAAATAGTCAGATCTCTTAGGAATAAGTCCAGTTAACACCCGAAGATGATTGTGGATACTAACAATCGAAACGTCGTGAAGTAACTTGGTTTGGAATTTTTTAATTTTCATTCCTTCTTATTTATTTTATGATTTTCTTCCCGTGTTGATAGTTCTATTTTTTAGTTTTTTGGTTGTTGTTTGTATTTTATTTCATTGTAGTTTCAGTTTTTCTTGCTTAATATAATTGTTATTTTCAGCTAACTTTTCAATTTTTTCTACAGATTCTCTCAGGAATTTCAAATCAATTTATATGGACAGACAGTGGAAGTCCGAACTAATTAAATGACTGACGTTTCTGCCTCAATTTGTCTCTTGTTGTGGCGTATGGAAATTACACTAAACAGATGAGATAAAATGATGATGAAATATATAGAATTACAACTTTGACAACAATGTTTTCGTTTCAATGCAATAATATTTCTAAGAATTTAGTGTCTTCTATAATGGAGTTGTATCCATTTTGTTTTTTATTGACCTCAAATGTTGTTCAGTGAAATGGAAATCTGAAATTGAATGTAATTCTTGAATGTTTACTTCACTCTCAATTGAAGAAATCTATTTGGGAATGTACTTTTTTCTGTGATGTATAGATACCGGACATTTTTTGTCTGTTGCATTATGATTCCAGTCATATTGTGTATTATGATGTGAGTTAAATACTCGTTATTCATACATCTTGCGTTATACATAGATATATCATTTTTTCCAAATGACTTTTACCACATCGAGAAAATAAGACATTTTTTCAACATTTTTTCGTTGAGTGATTGAATTGAGAGCAATAAAAACACTGTAACATTGTTGTTTTCGAAGAACACCAATCAGTTTTGTCATGCCACGAATAATTTACTATTTAATTTTTTTGAATAGGTTTCCAATCATCTCGGCAAAAACGGTATATGTTTTTTGGGTTCGTAAGTTTCTTAAAATCTGCATTATAATCATTATTTAATTGAACATCAGCTGCATTTTTTAATTTCAAACATTGTTCTTCGCTTCTACACGTTATTTATTAGTCCACCATTTTCATAGGTTTATATTCAATTTCATTCATGTGCGCTATATTTCTCTGTAAATCTATTCATTCTGGTTTCTGNATCTGTGAAACTCATTATTTCAACAGATGAAGCTTCAGTTTGCAGGAGACCACATTGGGAAACATGAATGCGTCTAGTACCAATCCCACAGAAGGCATCTTCGTAGGAGGAGATGTTTGACGGATGAGCCCAGGCTCATCCATTTTGTATGTGTGAATACGTACTGTGAAAATTCAGAAGAAAACTTGAAATGAAGGACCAAACCGTCTGTGAATTTTTTTATTTCAACAGTTGTTGTGTTGAATGAATTATAAGGGTGTAAACAATATGCTGATTCGAGTTTCACTCTAATTTCTCAAGAAATTATTCATTATATGTTACTATTCGGTATTTTCAGTATGTTGAGACGTCAATATCATTTTTCATGAAGAAGGTAACATGATTTTGACCTACCAAAATCTGGCTGATAAAAAAACAACAATACAACACAACAAAGTTTTTGTTTCGGGGTTGAAATTAAATGATTTTAAAGTATTTCCACGTGTTAAAACCGAAAGTGACCATAAAAATTATATATTAGCTCTTGTTTTCAAGATATAGTATCATTATATTATATATATGTATATTGAGTTTTCAACAAATGAAATATTTCATCACCAACAGTTGGTACACATGTTTGTTTACATAACACCCCTCTCATCAGCTGTTCTTAAGTAGTAAACATAACCTATGTGAGTTTGTCAATTGTACGCACGTGGTTGCTATTGAAATTATCGTGTGAAGTTGATTTTTAAATT